TTTTCTCCCCTTAAAAGCATAGCTTGTTTCATTTCAGGGTGAAATTATAAATACAAGAAGAACCTTTGGGCAAAACCAAAGTTGGGGGTTGCTTTGCTGAGTAATTCAGTCCAATGAAATAATCAATAAAATTACTGATGTGCAAAAAGACTTAGCCTGGGTTGATGAAAGATTACAATAACTTGGGATAAACATTTATGACTTCAGATAAAAATGTGATTAAAATAATAAGTAAATAATCTTTAACTGCAGATGACAGCAGCATTACAGTTAATCATGATATTGGGAAATGTTAGGTAGTGGAAGACGGGATTAACATATTGCTTTAAAACATTCCATTACTTTCTGCATCTGTTTACTGATAATAAAAGAAACAGCTGTTCTAAATGTAACATTAACAGGTGTAAACCGTTCATTTGAGATTTTAAAACAATAATTCTCGTCCGTTTCCTCCTTAGCTATTCTGAAATGACATTACAAACACCCCTCCTATTAGCTTACACAATTAACTCATAATTGTTCAACCTCTCTGCATGTCCACAAAACGTATACATGTGGAGTTAGCTTCCTTCTCACTCTGGGCAAAAGGCTCTGTTCTCCTGCACTGCACATCCTGAACTAATGCACCAGATGTGTCCCATAAAACGGTTGGTCACACTATTCAGCAGCTTTCCTTTAGCAACTGTTCTATATCAAATTTACTGTAAAAAAGCATCATAATTACGAAGCAACACTGTATCAAATTCACAGACCTAATATCTCACTATGTTCAGTTAAACTATGAATGATAATTGAGCTTGAAATTGTATATTTACTTTAAATAAGTCCTCCAAATCATCTGCAACAATGTGTGCTTAATTCGAAGCCATTAACAAAAGATTTAACATTTCCACATTTATACTCTCCATAATTTCAGATATGATACTCCATACTTATGGGGGGGGAATAAAAGCAAGTTCTGGTAGCTTTCCATTTGCAAAATTAAATGGACGTATCTTAGGTTTTTTGGAATTGCTAACCCAGCCTGTTAAAATGCTGGGTACAAAACAAACAAAACTCTCAAGAGTTCCATATTGCTACTGCAGCCAAATAATTAAATCAGAACTATAAGTTCATTTAACAAAAGAAACCAAATGCCATTACAAAACAAAAACCTGACCTGCTTTACAGAAGACAAAACAAACACTGAAGACCAAATATTATAACCCTTTCAAAAACCTAAAAACTTGCTTGTTGATGCTTATTTTCACAAAAGTAATAACAGAATGTTTGTAGGAAAAAAAAAAGCAGTGATCTCTTGAGATCAAGAAATGTGTTCTTTTATAACTAAAGAGAGTTTTGCTTATGAGTATTGATGCTATTGCTAGATATTTTATATAGCCCATACCAGAATATGGAAATAAAGAAGAATCTATTTTAGCATATCAAAAATTACATCATATAGATTTTAGTGTTGTCAGTGACTGCTAAGTACTCCTGAAATATGTTAAATATTTCTCTGGTTTTATTATTATTTTCTGAACTGCTACTATTCATACTAAAGGGAAAAAACAAACAAACAAATACTCCAAATCCCTTTACACACACCACTTCTTAACTGAAACAGAAACTTTATTATTTAGATTCCTACTACACTCAGAAAAGAAACATAAAAGGTGCTACCTCTATTTCATGTTTATACTCGTATTTGTACTCAAAGAAAAATATTTTTTTTCAATGAGAATTTCCTGTATTTTTAAACAAAATTGATATTCAATGGTTTCCCATGAAAATAATATGCAACTTTTCAGACTTTAGGCGGGGCAGACACCAGAGCTGCAAACGCACCACCAGAACTGAACCTGCCATACAATCAACCCTCTGAAAAATGCAAAGCTACACACAACCAAAAGGTTTTGTAAGTTTTATAATGAGATCATGCTTTAGTTGGAAAGCTCCCGATTCTCCCCTAGGGAACACTGCTACCTGCGGTAGGAATATTTCAGGAAAGCGAACACGCTTCCATGAGAAGCATCGTAAATAATAACACTTTGGCCTGCTGGTGACGCAAAGGGAGGAAGGAAGGATGCTCATCTATGGTCAGACTCAGACCTGCCTACCCTCATTTTAGTACAAAATCGTACAAAGCTGAAATGCCAGCAGAGGGCAGCGCAAATACGAGAAGTCCCTGAAATGCCCCGGCCCGGCCCCTCGCGGGGAAGCAGCTGCGTGGGGGAACAGCCTGGGGGACAACGAGGTGGCTGCCACTCACTCATCGCTGGGACACGCACCCACCACGTCCTACCCTGCTGCTCCTTCCTCTTAGGAAAAAGGTCAACCACCACAACAATCCAGTCCACTGAGCATTGCACATTTCAGGTTTTCCTCTTCCTTTCAGACAGCCCACGGAGCTGGGGACAGATTGACTGTATGTCTGCAGGGACAGGCAGCCTCTGTGCGCTCCCCTGGGAGCCTCGTGGCGTTCACCACTTAATGACACATCCCAGTAGCACCCCGTGCTGATTCAGTGGCAGTAAGTTGATGTGCCTTTCTTTTGAGAAATGTTACAGCAGGTGCACCACTTACCTTAAGCTTGTAAACCTGGAACTGGGGTACTTGTTGTTTAAACAAGGAACATAAAACAGATGCATCAGTAGAGGTATCAGTGAGAGCACCTCTGGAAACAGAAAGTAACATTTCTTTTTGTCCACACTGGATAAAGGAAGGAGAGACCTACCATCTCTAAAGCCATCTCCCATCAGCAGAGTACCTGTTTAACTCACAATTTCAGCTTGCACTCCCAACCACATGCACTGTGGTGGGGAAGACACCCCAACTTACCACTCCCAAGCCGTGCTACAGCACTCACTGCTGGTACCCAGCCACACAACAACCCATCAGATCCCACAGAGACAGAAACAAACTGTATGTACACCTACCTAAGGGAGAAATTCACAGCAACTCTCTTGAGGTGAAGGACAGCAAACACACCCAGGAAAGAAGGAAGGTAGGGAAGACTCACCTCCCAATTTCCTAACCTGGTACACCTGTACCCACTGAAACTCCTGATGCTAATTTGATTTCATAGCAACTAAACCCACCGTGGCACCTGTGAATACTCATTTCCCAATCACTTTGTCCTCAATGTATGGCTTGAACACCTGTTAAAACAACTTGTCCTCTGTGATGCTATCATTACACGAAGGCACTTGATGTAGACTCAAGTGTTATTAAAGATACTAGCATTTGCTTCAGTATAATTAGGATACATCTATCTTACCTATCTTTTGGAAAAGAACCAGCAATTATTATTCTCGTTAAATACTACATGTTATATTCCCAACTGACTAGAATTGGTGCACATATTCTTTTAAGTTCCAGCAAAATTAGACTAGAGATAAATTTCACTTCTCCAGCTTGCCTTTAGCTTTTCTCACTGTAATGGCTACTCTCTAAACTCTCACAGTTTATATTCCAACAAGAATAAAAATAAACAAACTATAACCTTCTGTATCCACTGCACGGCTGGGATCCTGTTTCCCCATCGGAGCCAAGAGTCATGTCTCCTTCCTCTATCTCCATCCACCTTCTCACTTCGATTCTAAAAATTCACATCTTCTGCACTGAGTGACATTTACAGGCAACAAGTGTCCAGTTTGTCAGTGACATTCTCATCTTGTGCCTTGCTCACTGTTGAGCTTGGAAAGATATCCTCCTTGTGCCCTTGCTCTTTATGAAAAGGATAAACCTACTTTAATGGCATAAAGACATAATCATAGAATCACAGAATAGTTTGAGCTGGACTTTTTAAAGGTCACCTAATCCACCCCCCCTGAAGTGAGCAGGAACATCTTCAACTAGATCAGTTTGCTCAGAGCCCCATCCAACCTGGCCTTGAATATTTCCAGGGATGGGGCATCCACCACCTCTCTGGGCAATCTCTTCCAGTGTTTCACCACCATCACTGTAAAAAACTACTTTCTTATATCTAATCTATATCAACTCTCCTTCCATTTAAAACCATTACCCCTTGTCCTATTGCAACAGGCCCTGCTAAAAAGACAATCATTACCTTTTTTTTATGTTGTCAGGTATTGCTGTGACGTGATTTCTTAGTTCACCAGTTCACCACTCTTTGATAAAGAGCAATACATCAGTGACTTACATTTTCAGACTGTACATTTGCTTGTCTGGTCCCATACTCCTGTCCACAAAGCAGCTTGCACTCAGGCCTTTCAGCAACCTTCAACCACTCACCCAGCAGCCACAGAAACACCACATTTTCACAGTGCCAAGATATGCTAACGACTGAAAAGCTGGGGATGGACAGGAATTTTCAGGTGAGCTTTCCTGAAACTTTTGAAACATACTCTTCCAGAGACACTGCATCTGCTGTACACAGAAGGCCTAACAGAGAAGCTTTATGGAAGTAGGCTCCTACTTAAAATAGAGGAGTAAATATTGTGTTCTGAACCAGTTTCCCACAATCAGTATCTCTCTAGCAGACTATGCCCTGGTTATGCCACATTCTCCCCGAGTGAGGACAGTTTATGTTTCCCACCCCCAAGCAGTTTGTGTGGTGTATCTCACTGAACCAACATACACCCATGGCCATCTGATTTCAGTGCTAACCTGGGCTCCTGTGACTCTGATCCTTTCAGGTCACTGGCCAGTTTTTGCTGATCTAAAGTTTTTAAAGAGTACTATACTGTTAAGAATCATTTTTTAAGTGTATAATTTTTGGAGCTTGGACTCTAGGACTTCAATACTTATTTACAAGAGCTAAGAATTTCCAAATAGAAATACAACACCATAGATGTCTAACTATAATAACTGCATATTCCAATGCCATATTTAAATACTTACAGCTATCCGGAATTCCTTTGAAAATTAACATCTGATGCCCTTAGTACAGCAAACTTTGCCATGCTCTGTTGAAAGCAACTTCTAACCACTTCACATCTAAAAAATTTTGACATACTGGTATTTTCTAAACCTGCAGTGATAAGAAAAGGATGAAACCAGTTGAGAACATTTCTTTAATAAATTCTTTTTAAAAACAGTGATGAGTAGTTTCTCCACAGTATTTATTTCCAATTTACAAGTAGCACTTAAATAAAAGAAGTCTCTAGGAGGTGAACATACGACAATGAAAAGTCATTATAACAAAACCTTTGCACACAACATACTGAAATTACAGAGTAATGATAAAAATTAAGCAAGAGAAGTATGACTCCAAACAAAATGTTCCATTTACTAAGTAATTTCCATGGAGTTGTGCTTGTCAACTTCTGGAATATCTGTTAAGTGATGAAAGAAAGGACGACCATGAACACAGCCTTTATTTTCCTTTCCAAGCTGTTGCTTCATCCTGTAAATTGTGTTTTGTACATCTTCTTTTGACAAATGTAAGGGCAGCTGCCGAGCTAAACGTACTGCTTCTCCCTGTGGAAAGGAAAAACAAAAACAAAACCCCAAGAGTTTTAAAGTACCACTTTTCAGCACATTAGCCTGGGGCTACGAGAAAGCAGGCATTAAGCACTCACTGTTTAAAGGTCATTCTTTTCTGCTGAGAAATGCTCTGAATCCCAAAAACCTAAATGTAACTCTAAACATACCTTACTGGTCAGTTCATGACATTTCTACAATGGAGCCATGCACAGTCAGTCTCCTGGTCATGTTTGCCATCTTTTGCTTTTGGAGTCCACTTTTGCAAGATGCTTTGTGTTTCTAAAGATTTTATTTCCTGTTGGCATCATTCACTTCCAGCATCAGCTGAAGATGTTTACTAGTTCACAAGACATGTTCTACACGACAAACTTGAGAACTAACATAAATTCAGTTAGCCAGCTAAACAAATTTTGAAAAATACTATAGTGAAAACTTAGATTAATGTTGTATTTACTATTATCTATTGCATCCAGTTATCTCACTATACTGTAAAGCAGAAGTGAATGCTAAAGCACACACCCTCAAATAACTAAGCAACTTCAAAAAGAAGTTGTCAGGCTTTTTGTTTCCTCCTTCAAGATGGGCCTTCCTGCCATTGCCCTCTCTTCTGTACTTAAGTCATGTTGCTTAGACAAAAATGGATGTGGCATAAAATCTCCCTTCATATTGTACAAGACTGAGCAGCATTCATAGTGATTTAATCTGAATCTTCCCATTTTGTTTGTCTGAGATTTTCCCCCCTTCCTCCAAGTGGGAAAAGATCACTGTGGAATATTCTGTACCGTGGAAGGCTGATTCTTTAACCATTACCCTATTCTTTCTTCTGCACTGAACAGTGTGGGCTTATGAGACTGTTGGTTGTCAGTATGTGCCTCTGTTAACCACAGAAGTTACTGGTGTTAACTAATTACAACCATTTGCAGAGGCATATGGGGTTCACTGCATGTGGGACTTCATTTTTTGTTTCAATGTCTTAATTCCAGTGACAGCTTGCTTTTCTGGCAGAAGTAATATCCACTTATGTATCTCTGCCCTTCCTCTGAATGAATCATAAGAATTTTTCTTCTTTAAGTGGAAAAGGTGCACTTTCCAGTTTTCACAGTATATGTCTCATTGAGGTTTACATGAAAATTAAGCTTCAATTAACACCTACTTTTCATAAACTATTACCTTAAATCATTTTATAACTACTTCATAGATTTATTTACGTAAGAGATAAATTTGGATGACTATTCTGGATTCAACTGCCTTCTAGACTTTGTAAAGCAATTCTATGGCAGCTTTGTATTCTAACACAGAGAAATGTCCTTATAGTCTGAAAACTGCCCATGTAGAAAAATCACTTTGTGAACATCAGCTTTCAGCATGTATTACATCACACTGGATATGTCTAATGGAAGTATTTTGGTAAGCAATGCACAACCCATAAACCTCAGAGAGGATATGACATCCTCCTTTTCAAAAGTAACTTCTGTTTAGAACACAATGACATTAATTAAAACAGAAAGCTGAAGAAAGATTTTCAAACCTGTTGAAGAAATTATACTGTAAGTATAGCTGGCTAATACTTCAAAGCGTTTCTGTCTTACCTCCAAGTAATTTACCACTTTGAGAGGCCTACATTCATATACTTCCTTTGCATTTCCATTAACTACTGCACTCAGAATTTCTTTCAAATCAGAAATACCGTAATATGGCAGACAATTTGCCATCCCTTCTACTTCCAGATGACTTTCTGTACCTGAAACACCTGAAAATACAAAAACAAAGCAGTAATTCATGCACTGCTTAAACTTCTATTGTGGAGCAATTCATAGAAAATTAAACTGATGTAAAGCCACTTAGTAAATTAGTCTCACAAATTCCAATACAATTAGAAAACTTTATTTGCTCCCCCCTTGGAATGAAAAGTCTTTATTTGTACAATGTTTCATTATGATGATCTGTGCTTATTCACATCACAAATGCCTCAGCTCACACTAATTCAAATCCTAGCTGGCACTGTTCAATGCTTAAAACATTTTGCAGCATTCCCAGTCTTGAGCACAGCTTTAATTAAAGCTTCTGTGACTTTAATTAAACATACATGAAAATAAAGTAGAAGCTAGCAATAAAACACAATTTAGTTTGAAAAAAATTGAAACAGAATGTTGGCACTATTTCCTATGCAATTGGTTTAAACATCTGTAGAGTTCAAATGTTATCATAACACATTCAGCTTCTACTGAAATAAAAAGCATTTTTTTCTCCTACCACAGCTGAGGAAAAACCTAAAGGTTCTGTGACTGACTTCATACTATCATTCATATCATATTGCTGCTGCAGCAGGTACCACTCTGAGTAGGAATGATGAATAAAACATTTAAACAGCCTTCCTAACAAAGTATCTATTCAAGCTTTGAGGATTAAGTGATTTCACTTCACTTTCTTTCTCACATGACTTGCAAAAAACCTGAATGAAGTGCTCCTGTACAGCTGAATTTTCTCCCACTCCCAATCAGGAGCAAGTTCTCTGGTGGTCAGGCTCACATATTCTCGTGCAGTCCTACAGACCCCTCCTCTTATTCATGCTGGGTGCATAGAAATCTCAACCCTGCAGAGCCACCTTCCCTTTCCCACCACTACAAGTCTAACGAGTAAAGAATTTCACAAGGAGAGCATGGAAAAAGACAATTCATAATGAAAATAAATCCACTCTTGTGTAACAGCCCCAGGTAGGATAAATTACATTCAGCTCAAGTCACAAATGGTTTTTGTAAAGTCAAAAGAGCTGGAGACAAATAGATTGATCCAAAGTGGATTAAACTAACAAACTGTGATAAGGGATAATTCCTGTTCCTAATCCAAACAACAATGTGAAATATTTCAGAAGTGAAAGTATACGTCACCACAAGGTACTTTTATTAGCTAGTAGAACGAGGCTGTTATCCATGCCCAGGCACTGTTTTTTTGACAGTCATTAAATAAGAGCAGAGGTGAACAGGAAGACTGTGCAGATTGAAATTATTCCTTAATATGGGTGTGTCACCAGGTAAATAATGCTGTTGGGCCTTTTTAAGCTTCATGGCATGAGATACTTTGACCAGAATGGGAATTCAATATAGTGAACAACACCCCAACCCTCCAAAAAAATCACAGAACCTTCTTACAGCTACACATTTAACACTGCTTTACACCTGAAACTTTTTTTTTTGTTTTTCTCCCAGCCTTGTCTTCCTTCTCTTTCCCAAGATGCCTCATCCTAACCATGACCAGCAAGCACAGACATATTTTTATGTACTGCTGTAAACCTGTGATCACATTCAGCTTAAAGCAAAATGTTAAATTATCTGAAAGTTCACCAGTTATTAGAGGTGAGATAAGATGATGCCAGTATTTCCCCATGGGAAAGCCTGCCAGTAAGAGACAGGAGATGAAGTCTCTTTAATTTCCTTCAGCTCTTTTCTCTCATTTTTGTCCCATTTTTGCTTTAATGAAAGTTTAGATTTGAATAATTGTTCCAGACTGTTTATGTTACTTTCTCTCTAAAATTAGAACTCAATCTACTTGACAACCTTCCAATAATTACCTCTCTATATGCTACCAAACAGAAGACACAAAATTTTGTGAGGTTTCAAGTGTTCAGATTTTCAGTTTAAAACCTTGTATTTCCAGTGCTTCCTTTTAAAATTTTATGACAGTGAAGTTCTGGATTTGCAAAACATTTCTTATACATACTCTTCAGTTTTACCAACAGCCATTGTTCCATCTGCAAATTTTGACAGCCAGATTTGACTTCACCATTCTGCTCATTAATCTGAAAGGCAAAGGGGGCTTTAAAGAGTTCAACATGAGAACAAACAGTACAAATCCCGGCTAAGGGAAGTTGTTTTCTTGGGTATTTCTGTTTGTGTGCCATTCTCCTTTTCTGCTTATAGTCTTTAAACTGCAAAGTAGCCCACTGCACGCTGATTAACAACTATTTATCTGCAAGCCTTTGCAGGAACTCTCATATTGGCAACATTTGATGACATAAGCAGATGTCCAAGCCTCAATGTACTTGTAAATTTTTGACAAAATATACATTAAGATTTCTGAGTATTCAAGCAGCAGTCTTCAAGCAGTTTCCATGGCAGTTTCTATTAAATACTTTGCAACTTCCAAAGAACATATTTCCATGAACAAATAAACTAGCTTTCACATGACTGAAAATGTGGATTTCTCATTGCTACAAATTTCCCCTTTCTCTTTTCAAACAAAGCATTTACAATCATCTTTGGATAATTCCTTCTAGATGGCCAGGAAAAACTGTTCCCTTCCAGCTGCCACCTAGATTAGGTGACACTATAACACTGTCTACCAGTCTATGGTCAAAATCAAAGTGAAATTAAGTAGCAGCATGATTTTCCAGTGGTAGGTTACAAGAGCTGAGGCAGCTGTTATTACCAAGAATGATTGGTTATTTACCTATTATTGCTCTTTGAAGGCTCATAAGCACATTCTTTGTATATGGATATGTTGGCTACTCATACTCAGGCAGACAATTCCACCCTAAAAGCCTGCCCCAGAGCATGGCCCAAGGCCCACCATTGTTACAAAAGCAGGTAAGGTGTTCCTTGCTCTCAGTTCCTCTCCAGTCAAGAATTCACAACTCCAGGACTCTCACAAGGGCAGACGGACAGATGTGCAGTGAAGGTACATGTGACAAACACATCTTAAGAAGAACTGGACAGAAAGTAATCCCTCTTCTTGAAATGCTTCTCTGTATGTAGAGGTCACTGTGAGCAAACAAATGCCTGGCAGATCCCAGAACACTGAGTATTAAGTAATTTGCTTCATTAAGTAAAAGCAAACAGACTGCTCTCCCAAAGGTAGCATCACTTGGAGGCTCAGTAAGGCCAGAACATGAGGGGGTGGGAGGGCAGTGGAAGACAGACTGGAGCTCAGCGTCACAGCTTTGCAAATTACAACAACTGGTACATTCCACAAAGAAATCATTGATTTTGTCTAACTGACATACTGACAGCAAGAAGCATTTTCTGGAGTATTTCACAACATGTTTTTCACTGTCACTATCCAGAGAAAAATCTAGTTGAAAACTCCTTAGACTGCTGAGCAATTAATATAAAGAGAAATGGGGAGACAATAGAAAAGATCTTAGTCTACCAAAACCATGAAGAAGATAGGGCACTTCCAAAATCTAGGATACTTGGAATAACTTTGGCTGCAGTCACAGACAGTCTCTGAACAATGTGGAGTAAATGTAAATTACCTTTCATGTCTTATAACAAGAACACATTGAAAGGGCAGACTTACTGTCAAATAAAACAATAGGCAAGTAAGGCCTGGAACTCCCACACTCTTGTAAAAATAAATATCCAAAGGTGCATTTGTGAAAAAGGAAAACATTGCTGGAAGTGCAAACAGTTTTCCCACCAAAGTGACAGCACAAGAACAAAACTCCATGTGGAACTGAGTTCTTGCTAGAAAGAAAACACCTAATTAGACCTTTCAAAAACCCACTAGGAGTAGTGCATCTGGTGCCATGTGGTGCCATGGGGTTCAGAGCAAGGCATGTCCATGGTAGGCCTGTGAGGAAGACTCCTGGAAAGTTACTGGAGTAACTAACTAACCTCAGAACCACCCCACTAGCTGAAAGGTCTTGGCCATTGAAGTGTATAGTTGGATTTCTATGAATGAAAAGCACTGTGAGGGAATAAGATCCAATTTTTGATTATTAATCCCAAGACCTGACAAATTTAGTGCAAGACTAATGAATTACAATTCTTTTATCCTATGACCGATGTTGCCCCTTACAGACAAGTCATCCAAATAAGGAAAAACCAATATTATGTGGGTGGGGTTTTTTCAAGTAAGCAACTGTCAGAATCAAAATCCTTATAAAAAGCCCCTCTGTGCTGAGAGTTGCCGAAAAGTAGGAATTTGAACTGCAAAGAATTATCTTTAACAAAGATCAGTGGAGATGCACGCCCAATCCAACATGGGAATTACCAAAGTCACCTTCCAAATTAAGGCAGCTGCTCAGATCTTCTTGCTATTAAATAAACAGTCAGTTCTGTAAAACACCCCAAAACTGAAAGGAAATGAGGAATGAATACATGGTCCTATATTTAAGTAATTATTTTAATCTAGGAAACTGTCCTATGAGGTGCACAATACCAAAGCAAGGGCTCCAGCATTGCAAATTACTATCTGAGTATTACAAATAACTTAATATATGGTAATGGGCAGCAACTGTCTGGGTCATTCTCTTCTTTGGCAGAATATGTGTGGAAATTTAAACAAATAATCAGTGCAACCTACTAGACTAACAGTCCTCTTCAGAGACCACCAGGGGTCAAGAAAAGCCTCTTCTGTGATTAAAACTGCCAAACACCAAACTGGAGCAGCTAAGTTTCTTTTGTTCTTGCTTTGGAAGGTATTTTACAGCTACCAATGGCATCACAGACTTATTCACATGGAACAACAGAAAGGTTTATAGCAAGAGGAAATTACTACCTTCCCATTCAGATTCAAAGGTAAAGAACAGATCTTTTGCTTGTGAGATAAAAAAGGATCTCTCTCAGAAAAAGGAAACTTTCTACCACAGAAAATGAAACTCTTTGCCCAGGATGAAAAAGGGAGCCATGCACTAGTGGCTATTAAAAAAATCAACCAGCAGTCAGAGAGGAACAATAATGTGACAATGTCAGCGATGAAGTCCTAAAGGAAAGTACTGACCTTCAAACATACTACAGTGGACCCTGACAGCAAGAAAGAGTTGGTAGTTCAGTTGAGAAACAGTAAATACTAGGGCTGATCCAATTAATCAAAAACGTTGGGAAAAAATGAGTTACAAAGGTATGTGCACAGAGAAAGGGGTTCCAGTGTGCTCCTGTGAATGCTACCAAGGTGAAACTCTCCAGCTGTCATGGGTTAAGTGCACATTTTTATTCTGGACACCTCTCCATAGCAAGCTGTAACTTAATCATTCACCATGCAAAGTAGAACCCCTGGCCCCAAAAATTAACAATATATCCTGAAGAAAAAAAAATCTTTTTGAAGCAACTTCTAGTTCAACAACATCTGAATTCCCTGCTTTCAGGATGTGTCTGAATTTCAAAAAAACCCACAAAAATAAACACTGAATTCAGATAGAGAAAAAATAATGCTTCTATAAGGATAGTGAAAAAGGTTTTGTGAGACAAACTTGTTCTTTCAGAGTTGAGAAATCCTACAGAATACTCAGGTCTAAGTGGGACAAATCACTCTTGGTATGCAGGCCACTTTCTGTAAAGATTATACAACAAGAATCTATGAACTAAAGAACCCAAATGCACAGTGGAATTCCCAGAGAAGGACATATAAGGAATGTTAATAATTAATACCTGTGTTTCTAAAAATCAGCTTTAATAAGTATTTGTAGAAGATAGTGTATTTCAGGGACAAGATTAAGAAAAAAAAGAAAAAGGAGGGACTGATGAAGTATTAATAAAAATCCTTGGGTCAGCTGGAAAAAAAGCTGGGAGAAATTCCATTTGTTTGCTGGTATTTCTACCTTCATCTGCAGTGCTATGCTCTTTTAATACAAGAGGCTGTAACTGCTATAATGTCATCAGCAGAAGCTTATAAACATGACTGACAAGACTCAGATGTTATTAACATTTCACTTGAGTAGTTAAAATAGAAGACTGGGACAAAGAACTGAATTAGATTCCCATTCTTCACTGGGCTATCCGTATGGTACCGATCAAGTCCATGGTTCATCAACCTGTACAGTGCATACAAAGCATTTTTACTTTCATTAACTGTAAATCAAACAAGAGCAGTTTCCTCACAAGACTTCCTTAAATTTACATCTTAGGAACACTGGAGTGGAAGACAGTTACTACTTCCCAGTTACTGTGTCGAGTTCCTTGCTATTATAGTGTACAATTCTGCTTTAAACTAATCAAGCTGTCTTAGAAGTAGTTTCCCATTTGTGCTGGTTTTGGCTGAGATAGTCAATTTTGTTCACAGTAGCCAGTGTGGGGCTGTGCTTTGGATTTGTGCTGGAAACAGTGTTGGTAAAACAGGGATATTTTTGTTATTGCTGAGCACGGCTTGTGCGGAGTCAAGCCCTTTTTTGCTCTTCACTCCACACCACCAGCAAGAGGGCTGGGTGTGCACAAGGATTTGGGAGGGGACACAGCCAGACTGCTGACCCCAACTGACTACAGGGACATTCCACACCATGTGGCATCATGCTCAGCACAGAAGGCTGGGGGAAGAAGAAGGACGAGGGGGACATTCAGTGTGACACTGTTTGTCTTTGCAAATCACTGCTACCTGTGATGGAGCTCAGCTTCCCTGGTGGTGGCTGAACACCTGCCTGCCCATGGGAGGCAGGGAATCAATTCCTTGGTTTGTTTTGCTTCTGTACACAACTTTGCTTTACCTGTTACAGCTCAACCCATGGGTTTTCTCACGTTTACCCTTCCAATTCTCTCCCCCACCCCACTGTGGGGGTAGTGAGTGAGTGGCTGTGTGGGGCTGAGCTGCAGGCTGGGGTTACACCATGACACATCTCCAGTACCACAAGATCGGTCAACAACCCTCTTCTGCTGTTGCCTACAAACTGTCTTCAAATCTTCACATTCAATTTATTCACATCCAGTTTACATTAATTAGATTTTGAGCAAATTTACAATATTAGGAGGTAGGAAAAAAAAAAGTGTGTGAGCAAAAGTGCTAAGCCACAATCCCTCTCTCCCATATTTGTCTAGGAACATATCACAGACCTCCTCAGCTTTAATTTGCCAGACTGAATAAACCTTGTAAGAGTTGTCTCTTACAGTACCTACTCTATTTCCCTAATCATTCACTCCAGGATATTACCATGAACACCTCTTCCACAAAGGTTTTGCTATTTATGTAGAGACTTAGTCAGTCAGAAAGAAGTTTCCTTGGTTTTGCTGTGCATGATTCAGTAAGGAAAACAGCTTAAGCTCTGTTCTTCCGAAGAGCCAGCCTCTGAGTGAAGAAGTTGGTCTACATCCCTTTTTTGTACCTACCCTTAAAAGATCCCATATGTTACAGTACATCTGTCATCACTGTACATATGTGGGGATCTGTAACACATGAAGCTATAGCATTTCTAACAGCTCTTATGGTGAATCTTTTCTGTGAGCTGTCAGCTAGGTACTACCCCCAAAGACATTCCCTTTCCTTGGAATTCTGCTGGAGAATTTGTGATCTGCAGAACCAACACCAGGTGGGTTGCCCCTGGGTTTCCAACAGCATCCCTATAAATTGTTCTTCAGGAAAATGCATAAATATTTGAGCTCTCTTGCTAAAGTTAAAGGATCTTATACGAAACACATTTATTCTGTGATCAATGTAGAGGTATTGAAAAGTATGCTCCCTCAAAAACAAGTCCATGGAAAAGTGTGGTGATCCTGTGACCACCTCTCTTTGCGGGCCCCTTTGGGCTCTGTGTCCCAACTCCTATAGGAAAGTACATCATTAACCACATCCAGCTCCTCACTGGACCTCCTCAACTGCTCAACAGCAGAGGAATGGTCAGCTAAAGCAGAAGCTTCTGCAAGTAACACCATGGAAGAAGATGCCAAGACTAGGGAATTCTCATCAGTTTAATCTAAATTGTCAGAATGGCAATTAAGGATACGGGCATCGAGCATTTTGAGAAAAGAATTAAATGTGAGGAAACCATGGATTCAAAAGCATTCTTTGAAATTCTATTACAGCTTTCACTTCAGTTATCCATTACTCAATTTTCTGTGTAGAAGACTACATTCTTTGCCAAGGAATAAAATCTCAATGTTAAGGAAAGCAGGATGCTAGTGCTTTAAAAGACAAAGTGATGTAGAATAATGTGATCTAAATTAACAATAACTTAAATCATTATATCATAAGAAACAAGCTCAAATACAACTAAAAGATTTTAAAACCATCATACCTTCTATCACTTTTATCTGGAATCCATTTGCTACAAGCCTTGGATCTGATAAATAACCTGATCCATGGAAACTCTGGTAATTCTTCTGCATTTTATAAAGAGCAGCCATGTACTGAGATCCACCAATAAGACTGGAAAAAAAAATCCCCAAAGCGTTAAAGCCAAAATCCTTAATGTGAAAACAAAAATTGTGCAAAAAAACACAGAAAAAGGTAGCAAGTAATGAGTGATCAAGACTTTTAAAAGTATTTTGAAAAAGCAATTTGTTTATAGAAACAAAATCAGAACTTTCACATATCTTAGTGAGTGACCAAGCTTAGGCATATAGTAATAATAATTATATCAGCCATCCCCTAATCCATGGGTGAAAGTCAGCTACAGTGACATTGTAAAAATGTGGAGCATCTAATTGTCTTCAGGGGGAGTGACATTTGTCTTTGCTGCACTACCAATGAAACTGTTCAAAAATCATACTTATTTCAACTGGAACAAGACCAAGTCTGCTCATTACTTCAAGGTAAAAGTATAAAACCCAAAAATCTGTTCCTACAGATAAATGAATGCACAAATAATCATGGAATTAGCAAAAAGGGCCTTGCCAGAGTTTACTGTGAATAATTATCAAATGATACTTCAAATAACATACATAACATTTGCTCAATATATATTTGTACAGTACCTGTCTGTTAACATAATTGGCTCATCCAGTTTCTCTACTGGCAGCTTATGGTTCATCAGTAACCTTTTACATAGCAGGGCTTCTTCCAATCTATATGGATTCAGCAACTTCAGCTTTTTTTCAGTAGCAAATATCCAGACATCAGGACAACTCTGGCGACGGATCAGGAAAAGCTCTTGTTCGTCTGAAACATTTTTCTCCTGTCTCTGAAGGTGACGTCTACAGGAACTCAGAGAAAAAGGCACTGTCACAATTTTCATGGGCTGTTCAAGTTCCCCCTTCTTTTCAATATAATCATAAAATATCTTGTCAAGCTTCTGCTGGTCAGATGCAGAACTCTTTAGCTTGGGTTTCTGTTTTCCTGTCTCCTTTGTTGGCCGGTGCACTGTCTGGGCACTAACTTTCTTGACCTCTTTGTTGTACCGTTCCAGGTCCTTGGCGGCTTTTATTTCATAACTTAAAAGAGAAAACAAAGCAGTAGCACAATCAGATAAAAAGCCCCAAACCCCAACTAACTCCTAACCTCCTGAACCAGAAGGTAAGGTAAGCAAGAACAATGTCTGTGGTTCCTTCAAGCATCCACACCAATATGCTTTCCACCCTGACAGGGATGGTAGGACATCAGGGCCTGTGCCTGTATTACATTACACTCTGAAGACAAGTTGCAAATTTTCCTTCATCATGACAGCCAGAAAAATGTGAATTACTGAAGGAGGAGGTGTAGACTTCATCATATAAAGATCTACATACAGCAAGTTGCTCTTCACTGCAGTCCCCTGTTGCAATCAAATATATAGTTTTGGAAGGAGTTTTGTGTCACCGGCACATCCAGTTCAACTCACAAAGTCACTTAAGCTTCTAGAGCTCCACAGACTTCCAGGGGACTCCACGTGGTCAGGCAGGAGTTTGGAGCTCGAATAATTTCACAAGCCTCAAGCTTTACTTAATAGAAGTATTGATTGATTACAAATGGCCTAAAATTAACCACATAAAGTGTAAGAACACAAAATATGTACTATTATCACAGAAGCCTGTAACTAATAAACTTACAGATTTTTCAAAAAGCACTTAATAACAAGCTACTCCTAAATGCTGTCTAAATGGTTAAAACATCATTACTTACTAAGCCTCTACAACATGAATGGATTCTTAATGAGTTTATAAATGTCAGGGAGATAGCTAAACTTTTATAGATGCCAGGTCTATGCTTGTCTACAGCATATGAATCTTACTTTCTGAAAGAAAAAGATGTGATTTGCTGAACTTCTTTTTGCCCTTATTTGATATTTTGAATTCTAGAAGGCAATTCAAACCAGCCTGATCTTAATTAAAAAAAGAAAAAGTAGTACTATCATATATAAGTATTGGAAATAAGTATTTTAGCTGGTCATACTTATTTATTGCTACTTGCTAGAACAGTTTGATTCAATTATGTGTATGCATGCTGGAAAATTAAGGTCAACAAAAGGGTCACCATTTGCAATTAATTATGATGTGCTAGCATTCACATATGGTACCAATATTTAGTTAACTAAAAAAGTCAGCTTAAATAGTTTCTTGCAATAAATCATGTCCCAGAAAATATGGAGCAAACATTAAGATAAAAAACATCTGCTCCTTTTAAAATGAATGGACGAAATCACTTGAACAGAATTTTTTTTTATCCCAAATTCATTTATAGCTTTGACCAGATCAATAAATACTTTGTTTTGAATAGACTCAACTGTAATGCAGGAAAATATTTAACTGTAAGAGAACTGAGCTTTCAATGATAGTGATACACTGATAATCCAAAATGAAAGCACTTCCAAACAAACTCCAACTTGTCTGTCATTTTAGGCTACCAGAAAAATTCCAGCCTTACAAACTCTGATTGTGAGGGTCTTGCAGATTCATACACATCACTATCAGTGATTTGCTGAGAATCAAGGAAAAACTGCAGGTTTACAAACTATGAGGCAACACCTTTCCCTTTTTAAAAATCCTTCCATAGAGGCAAGTAAAATCAACAAGTGTTACAAGAATAGCTTCTCCTCTGCTTTGGGAATTAAGATTGTAAATTCAGGATCCTTTTCTGAAGCTACAAAACCTAAAGCCAAGGAAATTTGCAAAAATGGGTATAAGGACAGAGTGGAAGACTAGAATAAAGTCTAGTTTAAAAGGCAGCTTTGCTTTAACTAAAAAAATGGATCCACAATATATTCTTTTCCCTTTGCATCTTAATCCCAAACAAAATATTTAGCATATAGCAAAACCCTTTTCATATAAAGTGTCTCAGACCTTACAAGACAAATAATCTGAATTTGAGTATTTGGAGCAAACTCCGACAGCAAAGACCACGCTACCTAAAATAATATTTCTCCCAAGGCACAAATATACTCATGAAGAATTACTGCAGAGTGCTGACAAGGTGATTTGTTAGTCCCATGATAAAGTGTGTGTAGCTTTGAACTTTTCCTACACCTTCAGGGTAACTACTCCTGCCACTGTTATGGCACTTGGAGGGATTTCTCCCACTCCTACCTGAGCCTGATATGCGAGAAACATTAAGGCCAGCTGTATTAAGTAAGAGCAGAGCGAGTGCAAGAAATTAAATCCTGGCTTTGCAAAGCAGGGGGATATGTGATGCTGCCAACATGGACATGCATGGGAGCTTTCCTCTTCTATTATAAGCTAAAGACCATAACATTTTACATTCCGGTTGTGTAATAAATGCTGGCTTGTTTTGAAAAGGCCATCCTGTGTCACTACGAGACATCTGTTGCTTGTACTATTCCCAAAAGGGATTTAAATTATTTTAGACCTGCTGGAGGGGCCACAGAGAGAAACAGGGATGCTGAAACCATGCACACCCATTGCAAAAGGCATGACTTTATCACAGAAGGATGGAGGGCTGGAGCCCAGGAAATGTGGTGTTGTGCCAGCCAGGATGCAGGAAGTTGGAGGTACCGTGTGCTCAGCAGAGCACTGGCCCTTGGGCTGCCCTGATGTATAGACATTTGCTGTTACCTCTAGGTGGCCCAATTTATCCAGAGTACCTGGTAGGCAAGACTAATGTTCTCTGCCACAAGTCCTTCTGGAGTGCTGCTTTGCAGGAGAAGTTGTCTGCGTGTCTCTTCCTATTTGATATTCCCTGAGGCAATTTTAAGAGATTGAAAGTGGAAAGAAGCTGAAAGAATCAAAGCTGAAATGTATGGATACAACTAGGGGTAAATTTTTCATTTGCTTCAACAATCATGGCATTCAATCCTACGTATAAGGAAAATATAGAGAGAGATACTAAACCACATTCAGTCCTACATATAAGGAAAACTTCATTACCAAAGAGGTTTCCTTCCTGAACTAATGCAGAGTTAATCTGTAGGCACACTCTTTAACATAACAGTTGTACCAGGAAAGCAACCATGAAATCCCAAAAGCTAAAGCAGAGCAAATTAAAATTTTCTGAAACAGCTGGCAGAACCTTTTGTTTCATTTCATTAAAAGCGTGAACATAATTAGAGTAGATTTCTACTATTAAATTAATATTTCTGCTTATGCAGAGATGGACAAAATACGTCGTCACATGTATGGTTTTTTGACCACGGTATGTTGCTTGCTTAGTAAGCTTTAAATTAAGTAAATCAGAAGCTAGAAAAAAAGGTTTTACTGAGCTCTGATATAGCTGGTATTCAGAACAAAACAGATGTTTTGAAAGAAAGTCAAGAAGTCAAGAAAAAAGTTATATAACAGTAATTCAACAGGTATGGCTTCTCTTTCTTAACATTCTTCTAATCAAATCTCTCATTGGTGTTAAAATTACACTTGTTTAGCTAGTACAGTTTCCTTTTCAATGGTCTTTAATTCCCTTCTCCTTGTTTCCACAATATGAAGAAAACATATTTTCACACCACTTCCAATGAGTTTGTTCTTCAGAATCAAATTTTCATCTCCCAAACTTTCTGCTACAAATCATGATATGCATTCAAATCATTACATGCAAAACTACTGAAGAACAACTTCTGTTTTTCCTCATTTGTGTGATGCCCTACAGTGTTTTACAGTTTAAAAAGTTACAAACAAAATGTTGAAGGTTTTGTGTTTCTTTTTTTTCAACTATCTTAAAATGTCTCAAAATCTGTTATTAATTCATCTTTTACCATAAGGTAAGTTCCATATAGAGGACAACATTACCTAATATTTTAACTAACCCAACCCCAAATTAGCCTAAAATATTTCCCTTTCTTGCAGATGGCTTTCAAAAACTCAGTGACATTTTGTTTTAGAAAAACTATGGAGTTTAACTACTCACATTGTAATGTAGAAAGAGACTTGGTCTTGTTCGAAACAGATTAAAATGCAAATTGTACTGTATTCTCTGAACCAGCACTAGAATAGCTGTTTAGGGGAAAAGGTAATTCCTTCTGTCATTTGACTGGGTTTTACAAATACAATTCTGAGGTAGCCTGGGTTGGGAGATGTACTAAATTTAGAGGAAAGGACTTTACCAAATGTTCGAGTACTAAAGATCCTAAAAAAGAATTCTCACTTTCTAGCAATAAAGTTGGAAAACCTCTGGAGGAACTATATATATCTCCATCACCGTGCTGGTTTTCAAGGACAGATCATGAGGAGTGACAAAGTAAAGGCAGCCCTCAGAAAACAGAAGTCTGCAGGATTCACATAGTGTGCTTTATTGCCTGTCATCTCTAAATAACCACTCAGCAAAACTGTCCGTACCCAACTGCCCCACAGCACAGGGGCAAAATGAGTAATTCAAATCAGCAGTGAACAACTGCACACAGCAAAAGATGGCAACTCACAACATTGATGCTGATTTTAAAAAGTCAAAAATCTTTTTCTGTTCTATTTTTTTTTTCATAAATAACTGGAAATTTACCATTTTTTTAATTCATTACAAGGGACTCTTTGGTAGCTACCATATCTAGAAGCAAGTCATGGTCTGAATACTTACTTCTTTTTTTCCTCTTCACTCAAATTCTTCCACTGCTCTTCAATCTTCAGCAGAATGTCTGCCATGCTGGTCTTCGGATTATCACTTATCAATTTTGGACGACGTTCGTTAGTGAAAATTTCAAATGCAGACTTTGCTTTCTTTATTATTCTACTATTAATTAAGTCATAAGCTGTCACATGGCCGAATTTTTCACTTATCACTTTTTTTTTCTTTACGCTTTGATTTGAGATTTGTGGATTGTTGCTTTGTTGAGCAGTGTGTTCTTTTTGCTTACTAATTGTTCCTCCAACTTCAGGCATCAAAATCTTGACAGGTTCCAGTTTATCTCCTAGACTGTCTTTAAATGCACTTCCCATACTCCAACTATCAGCAGAGATTTCAGGTAAGTCTTTAGGGACTGAAGCTTTTTCAGGTAAGTCTTTAGGGACTGAGGTTTCCTCAGGTAAGTCTTTAGGGTCTGAGGCTTCCTTATTTTTATCTATTTGGTCAGTATTATCAAAACTGAAAAGATGCTCATCATCGGCTTTTTTAGACTTGGGGTCCACAGGAACACTGTTCCTTTGAATATCAGTCATATTTTGTCCATTCTGTTCCTCCTCACACAATAAATTTAAGGAACTGTCTGGAAAGGCATCACTCTTAGAAACCTCTCTCTCGTCCAGGCGACTATGTACATTATCAGCACAAGGAGTCTGATGATTTAAGCAGATCTCTGTGTTTTTTACTGCTTGACAGTTTTGCACATCGCTGCTGAGTGAAAGGAATGAAGTATGAGCATGTAGCTCATCGTTTCCAGATGGTCCCATTTCATTACCAACCACATCTGTTTGTTCTGTTCTATGAACAAACATGTCTGCTGAGGTAACATCTGTTTTATTACTTTCACCAGGGACTGCAGCAGGTAGTGGCCCATACAGTGATTTCAACACATTTTCAACTGCAAGTAAGACAGATTCCTGGGAAAAAAAAAAGAAACAAAACAGAAAATACACACAAGTGCACCTGAAAATGTAACTGACAGATGCTGAGAAAAATATTAAAACAGTTATCTTATTCAGATTATTATCTGGACAGATTATTGCATTTCAGTTGTTTACACACACTCAAAAAGACTCAACTGGACACCTCCAGGACCAAATATTTTGTGATAGGTATTCTGCTTCATTAGTTTACTCTGACATCACAAAATCACTTAATTGCTTTCTTTACAACAGGGTACTGACTGATTAAACCACTATCAGGTAAAGCTATTCCTACTTCATATGGAATTAGAAGCTTACAGTCAAAACAGGTGCACCAGCAACATCCCATTCCATGCAAGTGTGTTTGTGTAGGTGCTTCTATTGTACATGTTTCCGAGACAGCTTTGCACCAAATGATGGAAATTAAGAAGACAAAAACCACCCAAAACCGTACAAAATAGAAATAAAGTAAAAAAAAAAAAGGAAAAAGAAAACCCAACCCTTTTTCTAATGCCAAAGGAAAACTAGATCAAATGTGAGAATGCTGTGTTAATTTTCACACAAGTGGCACTTAAGAGGCAGTACATTTACAAGATTGACATAGGCAAATACAAAAGGTTTTTTGTGACCACGGTTAACACACTGGTGTGACTACATTAACTTTGAATAAGCACCTTATTACCAATGTAGTCTTCCTAATTTCTATGGCACTTAACTGATGTCATCAATAATCTATACACATAATGGCAAAATAGTGATTTGATGAGAAATCAATGCCTCTCCTGTCCACCCCCCCTTAATGTATGTGTTTAAATAGTGATTACTTAGTGTAGATATGAAGTATGAGATTTATGTAGGGACACGATCATGATTCTATTTAGCTTCCCTCACTATAAAGGCATCTGAAAACAAAGTGCTACATGCATATATCTGACAGCATAAAAATCTGAAATCAACTGGGAAATTAATTTTGAATAATTCTCCACTTAGCCTGTTCAGTACTTTTTGATCAAAACAGTCCTATGACAAAGGCAAGCTATCAAGCAACTAAAAAAAAACAAAACAAAAAAACCCCGGAGGCACCGTTTTACCTTCCCACTTTTTTGTAGTCCCCAAAGCCCTTATTATGCTTACATAAGTAAAAGATTGACAACTCAGAAACAGGGTAAAAACCTTAGTTACCTTATAATGCAGCAAAACTTGAGTTTTATCAGGTGTTACATTCACATCCACAGCAGAGGCAGGTACAGTAATATTCAAAAAGAAAACAGGATATAAACGAGTACAGTCCTTGTGTGTCATCATACTGTAGTATTGTCGAATTAACTACAGATTGATTTAATAGAGAGGTGTCAGTAAAGGCAATAAAATAGACAAAAAGGCACAGAAATAAAATCTGACATTATAAAAGCATAACTGGTTTGTTGGTTTTGTTGCTTTTTTTAAGTTAAAGGAATACTAAAAAGGTTATCATATACATGTATGCCATAAAAATCACCTAAACTGGTGGTTTCCATGTCTTCACAGATAAATTTAAAAAAAAAACAAAAAAAAAAGGAACAATTCCAAGATACTAATGGACATTCCGAATGAATGTATTGATTGCACCAGGAAGAAAAGATATGGTGTGCCCAATGGATGCAACTGGGATGCAATGCAATGGATGGACTGCAATTCCAATGTTTCTTTCCTCAATCACCACCAATACTACTAGTTGTTTTTTAAAGAAAACTGACTTTTACAGCATACAACCACACTGCTGTCTCTTTCAGTCCAAATAAAGTCTGTTTGAGAAAGTTGCACTTGGACTATAGACCTGTTCTTTTCCCAAAACAAGACCAATTTGTTCCTTTTCTTAACCCAGTTATAAATGTACAGTTTTTCTCAAACTCTTCTTGTTCTTGCTATTTTCTCTATAATACTCCTAAAAACTCCTCCAAGAAACTACAAAAAATTCAGTTGTTTCAGAATTTTGGTGTTGTTAACTACAAGGACCAAATAAAAGATCCTTGCATTCCTCTCTAGTATCCTGGATCCCTCCTCCCACAGACACACATACTGGAGAAAAGAATACGTTAACAAGACCAAAAAAAAATTGAAGGTGTAAAAAATGATTAAAATTTAATTTTTCATTCCTTAAATATTGTTTAAATAACATTGAATTTATTGAAATATTTTCAAGTTATTTTAACCTTAATATTCCCACAGTCTGTCCTCAGCTGGCACTGAACTGTAGTAATAAGAGGTCCACCAGCACTTCTTCCCCATACATAGCATGGAGCTAAAAGTGATGTATAGCTTGTTTTCCATGTGGGTCATTATAGTTTTACTTTGTATGGTAGTATGGTGAATCCCACCTTGAATCCAAGCTTCTATGCTCTGGTTAAAAAAACCTTATCTGTCACGGGATTCAAGCTGAGCTTTGAACTCCCAGAAGAAACAAGCACATCATATTTTGTGTGGAGATGGATTAGCCTTCTTTGGCTCTTAACATACCAACACAAGTTCAGGGTTTACACCTACAAAGCTTTGCTTGCCAACTGAAAATAACTTCATTGTCTCCACCTTAAAAGCTACATGGACACTTTGGCACGAATGTGATTTTCTTTCCTGGCCATGGCAAGGATTAGGACAGCAAGGCTGCTCCAAGTGAAGTGCTGCAAGGTTCAGTAGTGACAGAAACCCAAGAGTATCAAATTCTGCCTACACAATGCTCAGCTGTAGCCAATGCTGCTGCACTATCACTTTCATTTCTACCCAGTGCACACACAAATTTAAAGGGAAAGGATGGGTGTTTGCTTGACAAGCCCACAACAGAAGTGGACAAAATAAAAACTTCACAGAAGAATTCTCTTACAGGAAACTACATGAAGTTCCCTTATGGGAAATTGCACAGGTGGTTTCTGCAGGCTAATACAAAGAAAGAATCAACTGGTCTGGTGTCTTGCATAGAGTATCTGAAATAACCTTTCTTTCAAACAGCCAAAAACGTAACCTGCAGTGATGGGGACTGCAGCAAATGGAATAGAACTGAGGCACCAGGAGCATCAGATTTGTGGGAGGGGTTTCTGTTTTAAATGCCAGTATCTTCACCTGCAGCACTCTATTTCATGTGGGAAAAAGGTTGTGGATTGCCTATATGTCTCTGTCCTCCAAGAAATCACATTTCTGTTCCTTGAATTAAAAGCTATAAAAGATATTACCTTAAGTATTTCCTTCTGAAGAACTGGACGATTATTTATAAAAATGAAACTCCTTTCTGAACTTGAAAGACTAGTCAAAGAACTGTCTGACTCAGCTTTTGGGAGAAATCCAGAAAGATTTATCTGCAATGATAAAACAAATACAGTGCAAAAGTCTTTTGGAGAAACCAAAAAGGCTTTGAGAGCTGAGATCTTAAAAGGCAATTGTACAGGAGTCCAAGCCATTCAAATGCATGCACTGCTTCTTGAAAGTTACAATATAAAAAAATAAACACACTCAAAGAAAAAAAAGAGGTTGAGAAAGATGGGTTCATATCTATTTCCCTCAACCAATTGACTGGGATATCTCCCATTTGGACAGCCAGCTGCAGCAGGATGCTTCCTGCAGCTGAGGGCTGTGGAGAGCCAGGCCAGCAGCTTTAGGTTTGCCGGCTGTGGGGTTGCCAACGTAACCCCTGCACAAGCTAAAGGCACGCACTGCTGCCCAACCTGGCCCAGGAAGCAGTGAACTACCCCTACAGGGAAAGCCCAAAACACACAATCCCCCCCTTTCTACACACAGGGCACCTTTAAATAGCCTGTCACAGGGCATTTATTCAGGGCACCTAAATTTACCTACGCCACCTGTATCCAAATCATCTGACTCTCAAGAGTGCTGAGCACCCACGATTCACAGGCTGCAGCAGAACCTGTGAGCACACAGCACTGCCAGGGAACCTTGGAAACAACACATGATTTGTGTACCTAACTTGAACTCTGAGTTTTAAGATTTTTCTGTTGAGATTCTTTAACAGTTTTTTTTAGGTCAAAATATGGCCAATGACTTGTGCTGCCTGTCCCATCACTTCCCCCTCTCCCTCACCAGCAACTCTGAAACTGTTGGATCGATTTCAAATCAATCTGATAAAGAAGCAGAAATCCCAAAGATATCATATTTCCACAATTCCTGTGATAACTCACAGCTGTTTGGAGAGGATAGCCTCAGAAGAATGACCTTACTAAGGAAAAGGCAATTGCAACTTTTCAAAAGCCAGGACCCATCAGCATGCAAGAAGTGACATGCTGGCCAGCTCTCACTCTGCCCCACACATCACCCCATCGCCACCGGCCCAAACTGATAGTGAAGGACCACTGAGGCATCATGAGGATGGAGATTCTGGAGATATGGGAAAGTCTGGAGAATGTTCTGGTAGCAGGGTGGATCACTGAACACAGAAACGAGACCTCATTAGCTCTGCTTTTGGCAGAACCCCTTGTATTTACTAAAATCCAAATTATCATGCTTTTGAAACGGAATTTAAAATCCCTGGGATTTGGCCTGTCCTTCCCATTCATCTACGTCACAGCAGCTCTCTGTTCATGTGCTCCTTTATTCCCTGTTGACCTTGTCCCAAGCATTCTGTGCTAAAGCTGGCGTGTTCAGGTCAGCAACGTCGCCCAGAACCAAACACCACTGGTCAAGCTGAAGAGGTCTCAAATATCTGTTGGGTGATTATCAGAAAACAACATGCAGCACTTCTAGATTTTATTCTGCAGCTTTAGCATATCCTCCCTGAATGTTCCCCTTCTATGCTTCTAGTTACTTTTCAAATTCACAAATATTTGTAAAAGCCTTTCACTTCGAACAATACTTTTATATACAGAAAACATTAAAGCAAAACTGAAAATCTCTCATTTAAGAAGGTGCCAGATTTAGAAATGGCTGACTGCTGTTACTATTTAAAGCCATGCAGAGTATCAGTATGAAAAGTTACCCACAATTTATAAAACTTGTCTTATAAGAATTTTCAACTATGAAAGTACATGAAGTATAAAGACAAAATTACAAAGACTGAAAAATACTACAGAATCTTTGATTTCAAATTAGATCAACTGTTTTCAAAATTAATGTTTTAATAAAAAACCCCAACTTATATACATATCAAAATATATCTGTGATGAGTGGACAGCAGAATGCCTTTAACAGTTATTTTTTTCCCTGTGGCACATGCATCTGCTAAACTTAACCTTTACAGAAAAAGAAGATACTAGGAAAATTTCCTGTGTGAAAGTTTTCAGCCCAGAGAAATCTATCCATTTACAAGACAGGGGACCTGAAAAGCATAAATGCTGTTTAGTACATGTAAAAAGTTGTGCCAATTTTTTATTTTCTTAGTTTTCTTTTTATTTTACAAGTAGCTCCCGAATTTGCATGCTTTGGAGTCAACTTGAAATTGTTCTTGTTTCCTTCAGTGCTCACAATGGAGATCTTTTGAAGACCAGTCTTTAAAATCCCTGGATCACTTGTTAGAGAAGTTTTAACTCTGCAGTAAGGTACAGCAAAATTGGTTTTGTCTTCAGAGCAGACTTTGCAACAAAGGAATATGAAGCTATATAATGAACAAGTAGGAGTTAAAAGAATGAAAGAGCTGCCCTCTGAATGAGGCATGGATCTAAATGGGAAGGAAAACCATGCCTTGTCCTTAAACACCTATTCCAATACCTGCACACAAGGGAGACAGAAATGGTTACACAGGCAACTTAATTCTGTCATTTTGTAGTGTTTGCCTGCTTAGTCTAGAAATGTCCACGGCTTCTGAACGTCAATTTGTGCGTGAGCATTATGCATGGATCACTTATACACCTATAAATGATGCACGTGGTATTTTACACACTATTTAGAGACAGAGGGAGAGATGGAATGTTCTCCCACTTCTATTCAAGGAATATGGATGCCTCATGATATAGCAGGGAAGTAATGTGAGAACCTGAGTGCCTCCTTCAAGCTAGTCCCTTCTAAATACCCCCATGTCTTCCCTTTGGAGCCCCCTGCACTTGCCCTGTGGGCACATCCAAGCTACATTCAGGTAAGAACAGCTCTGGATGTTCTGTTCAGACATAACCAACTAAAACCTTGTCAACTACAAGAAGTGACTTTGCTTTCTTCTCCCTCATTTCACTGCACTTTTGCTACAAGCATTCTGAAAAACCCAAAATTTAAGTCTGAATAATGCTATTAAACTGTAATACAAATATGTAGTCAGACTTTTATTAAAATCTGAATAATGCTCTTAAACACCATGCTGAATGGAGCGTTGCTAAGTTGTGCTTAACAGCCATTGTGACTTTACACTGATTCATCTCATCTATGTGACTGGTCAAGATTTATTACTACAAGATACAGAAAAATGCAACTTAGAAGGTTCCATAGTAGCAAGACTCCCCTTTATAAAAGTGTCTTCAACAAAAATGGAAGGTGAGTAAAAAATTTTTGAAAACATTGGACAAAGGAGAGTATCATGGGGAATTCCTTTATTTTCAACAAGGGTAAAGGAAGCCAAATGCACTGAATTTTCTGGAAACTAGCAAGTTATTTCCTTGAAATACGTTTGGTGGAAATTTTGCATAACTTGCCTTCTAAGTATGTGTTTCTTTCGCTTCTCAGGTGCCTCTCACTGAAACTGAGGGGATACTCTTTAGAGTGCAAGGCTAAGAGGCCACGAAGATGAGAACGATCTAAATGCTCAGATATTAATCAGAGCACAACCTGCCTGTGGGCCAGGAATCCCAGCCTGGACAGCTCTGAGCAATCAGCAATTCTGCATTTGTCATCACAACTGTTTTTACTGCCATTTGATCAGTGCCACATGAGTCCTGATGAGATGATTCTTGGAGTGGATTTTCAATCACCAAACCAATTAATTTTACGGAGAGGACAGCAACAGAAGCAAATGCATTAATCAGATGTCAGTCTGCGGATACATCCTCTTTTTCAAAGTCTCCTTCTATCTGAATATTGACTTAGCTCTCTTCATTGACAGCCTTTAAGTGAATTTGGGAGAAGGAAGTTTAAACTCACCTCAGGATATTCACAGCAGTGCTGAAAAGGTACCATACTGCCCATAACGGCTGTTCCCAGAACTGACATACAGGCCATTTTGTGATCTGACACCCTGGTCTTCTGCCAAATAACTGCCTGAAACAAATGGCACAGAGTCAAATTTTTGACATTATATTTGTTGAACTCAAGTCATGTCTATGAACATGCATATGCAACTGCACACACACTGTATATGTAACATTCTGTACTTTGACCCTCTGAAAATCACAACTTTCGGTGTTAACCGACTCGCTATGGTACTTTTTGGCATGTCTTCTCATACTGTATTACTTATTTAGACTCAAAGCAATTGGAAAACTAAGCAAAGCTTTAATTTATGGATGTTACGTGGCCAATCTGGACTTCTGTACCTGAAGCAATTGTTAAACACAAATCAATACAAACACTACTTCTCCTCTTTGGTACACAGCAGTAGATTTTGTGTTTTTACTGAGCATATAAACTGAGGGTTTATGATGTGTCTCTAACATGGTGCTCAACATTTGAAGTTGGGCACTGCAATGCCTATGTTACTTATACTGCAGAGAAAGGCTGTTTTGGTAGAGATCAGGCTATTAGCTGTCCACTCATAGTCCACACCTGGATACTCTAGGTCTATGACAAGCCTGCTATTTAGAAAGGAAAGCAGTTATTTGTCTAATGAAAACTTTGTAAAAGCTAGAAGGATGAAGGAACAACTGCTCTATTTGCTACATATCTTGGAATACTATTGTAAAGACTTGATAAGTAAAATAAGGCAAAGTGAACTTGAACTTGCAACAAAAGTTACCTGCCAAGTCCCCTTATGGATACAAAAAGTATTAGCTACTTCGGAAGGTGAAATTTTGTCTCTCGCTAATGGCAAGTCCGATACCACACAGTCACAAATTTAGCTGAATATGCTGATTCAACAATAAAAACTAATTTCCTTAGTTGGTTTTCTGCTTCTATGCAACAGACTGTTACATTCAGGTCCACTTTACTTTTGTCACTGTTAGATGTCTGAGTGCATTTCAACGTGCAACCTTCACACACAAAAGAAAAAAAAATTCAGCAAGTTGCATTTTAAATCAGATGTTACAGTGCTGCTAAAATTTATGTTTTCAGTAGGTGCTAGGTGTCCAATGAATTCAAAATGGGTTCACAGTATTCTGATACAGGATGTTAACTGAAAGTGTTGTGGGAGAAAAAAATACACAAGCACCCATCTCAAGAAATGCAATACATAGCCTTAAAATTCCACCTGTCCCGTGGGATATTTGCTGGCCTTCAGGGGTGAATTCCACAGAAGAACACAGTGCTCCTGTAAAATGATACTCCCCTCCTACAGGACAGGTGGAATTGTAAAGCTTTGAGACTGCTGAGCCTAAACTATTCCCCAAATCTTTAATTTTCCATTTCCACGTACACTCTGCAGCATTTGTGAAGTGGGGCTCTGCAATCCTGCCTGAATCTAATTCAGCTCCTAGACACCGGCCTGACAGCCCTTTGCACATGCTGGATCACAGCTCAGTCATCCTAGAGCGAGCCTGAACCCCTTAAAACATAAAGGACAATTTACGTCAGGGAGGGCAGCGAATAGACAAGGAGGAGAAGGAGAAAGGAGCAGGCAGAGCCACGGGCTGGGTGTCCACAGCTCTGGCAGGGAGTCCCCACCGTGCTCCGGCAGCAGAGAGGGGGAAAGGACAGCCCGGGGCTGCCCAAGGCACGCTGCCTCTCAGCCTCTCTCCTCTACACCTGCTCTAAGTCTCCTCAAAGATATTTTGGAGTGATGAAAGAATCTGTCCTCTTCTTTAGAGCTCCTCTTATAAAACATATCCTGTACTGCTTCTATTTTAAAATTGATTACTTAAAATGGAAACACAAAGTGCCAAGCGATTTTTTCTTTACTGGATATATTTTAAATTAAATGCATGTGACCAAACTGAGAAAGACACTTGTTATATGACTAATATAAACATCATGCTGTTTATTTTAGGTTATGCTAATGTAAGGCTGCAGGTACAGATATAAATCTTAGCTGCTGATTAATGCAAGGTTATTACACTGCTTGACCCGCTAAACGGCTGATACTCAGAACTGTGAAAAGATCACTTGAGTAAGGTGGAAAATGAGAACTTATTAAATGTAAACTTGCTAAAAGTAGATACTGTAATAAGTTCAGACTAGCTTTTCAGCTAGTCATATATTTATCAGATTTAATACTCAGTACTACAGACATAATTTTAGAAAATAGTTACCACTGTAGATTAAATTAAAGCTTACATACTAAAGAGGTTAGGCAATTTCTAATTTCTATATTCCTAATTTCTACATTATATGAACACTGAATACAGTGTGTATTCATTGTTAGCCCTGACAGCACATTATGGAGCAACAACATAGGAAGAGGTAGTAATTTAAAGAAAATTATTTTTCTAGACTCTCCAAATGTATCAACAGGCATTAAAAAATTCACAGAGAAACAATGCCTGTTCCACTTATTTTAGAAAGTGCCTCTTTCCGTGAGGTTCCTGCAATACCCTATTTTTTTAACCTTACTTATACCCTTTAGTTTAGCTAAAAATACACCCCCCACACACCCCCTAAATTTTTTTTCTAGGTCACATAAAGCGGGTGTCGAGGATGAGCCAAGGAAGAATCTGACTCCAGTCAGTATGATGACGCTGCAGAAACAGCCTACTCAAAGATATATTATTACATATGCCCCATCTTGGGTTTCGTAGAGCCAGCCAAATATATCCCACCTCTCTCCTCGCTTCATTGAAGGGGATTGCACGATCCAGATATTACAAAATGTCATAAGGTGTATAAAATCTACTGCACATGTACAGAAGATAAGCAGGTCTGTTTGTACCTATTTCTCTCCACCCCATGCAGCCCTAGGATACACATACTTCGTGGAGGATGACAATGTACATTTCAACCTACATGATACTATGACTCCATGCACACAGGGAGTAGGCATCCATTGTTCCAGGATGCATATATAGAGCCCAGAAGGATTCCTTGAAAAATGTGTCATGAGTGGAGAAAGATTCACCCTCTTCCCACCGGGGTCCCTGGTATTACGGCACTAAGCAGAATTAAGAGCTGCTCAATATTTTTCTCCTCAAAGACACCAAGGAATGACAGAGAAAAAAATGCAGCCACTCCACATCCCTAACCATCCTTCATATTTAGAACTTCTATCAGCAGCTACAGTGATTTGCAATCACAGACAAAAGGAAAACCTTAATTAGAGCTGGGGACTGGATGCTGTTTCCAACTGTGCCTACTTCAGTACAAGTATGACACTACAAGTTAAACCAACTCATCCCATTATTACTACTTAATGGCAGTAACTTAACAAAGTTGACTTTTACTACCCAGAAACCACATATTTTCTTAATTTGTTTTGTGACAGTCATATCCTGTAATAGTTTGAGGGTGTAAAAGTCTAGGTGAGCAAGCAGTTGCACATGAACTGCAGGCTGGTAAATGTAACTTGGGTTAGCTCTGTGAAAGAGAACTGTATTTCACAGTCTCTCTAATTTTGTTTTACGTGCTTCCAAAATCCTGTCACGCTGGCATCTCACTGCAGATAGTTAACTCTTTGGGCCAGTACATTCCTTAGCCTTCTTGACTTAAAACCTAACAGCTTATCAGGCTTCAAATGAAAGCATCACTGCCTACCTGTTGAGAATAAACAAACAGGAACAAAGCCAGGCAGCAATATCTCAAGTTTGAATTCAGCCCAAGGGAAACCAAAAGACATGTACAGTCCATGTACAATGTCTACAGTCATTTCAGCTTAATGATGCACAGACACCTAGCCTTTAGGGCTGGCACATTCTCTGCTGTGAAAGAAAACCTATCAGCTAAGATCAAGAAAAGACCAAGTCTTAAACACGTCCTTTAGAATCCCAGCCTTGAAAGTGTTAATCAACTCCATGCCATAATTGGTGTCCTGTTTTAAAACCAGTGGTAAGTTACCTCACTAAAAGAGAGCCCTTACGTAAACCTCTCTTGAAAACAGAAATCAAAACCATTTTTCAATTTAGCTTACAGAACAATTATGCAACTAATCAGAATTATTTTCCCCATATATTTTATACTTGCCCCTAAGGAATCAGTTGTGCCCTCCATTCTGTAAGCGATGGTGGGACAACTATTAGTGAAGACATGCAGTAAAGAAACTCAAGACACCACTTTTCCACTCATCAGATGCAGCTGACATACCTGTCTATCCCATGGGCATCAGATATTACAGCTATCAAGGGGATTTGTTGAAAGACAGTCATGTTCCACAGCACTGCTCATCCTACAGATTCCAGTGTATTCGCTACTCAGATTTCCCTTTCGTGATACAAGAGCACCTTCTCAATGAAAAAAGGCTTTCTTGAGCATGACACAGTGGAGAAATGCTCGGATTTGAGAGCTGGGAGGTAAGTTAGGAGAGGAGCTAACAGATATTACAAGGGGCCAAGGATCTTCATCTGGTAACACCTGTCTTTAAAACCTTTCAAGAATTAGAGGCTACTGAGAGTTACAAGTTTTTTGACTGCTTTAACCACGCACGTTCAGCTGTGGGTGTTTCAGAGAACCTCATCTCCTCTTATGACCAGGTGACCCCCCTAGTGGATGAGGGAAAGGCTGTGGATTTTGTGTACCCAGACTTCAGTAAAGCCCTGGACACTGCCTCCCACAGCATTCTCCTGGGCAAACTGGCAGTCCATGGCTAGGACAGGTGCACTCTTTGTGGGGTAAAAAACTGTCTGAATGGCTGAACCCAGAGAGTGGGGGTGAACAGAGTTAAATCCAGTTGGCAGCTGATCACCAGTGGTGTTCCCCAGGGATCAGTATTCGGGCCGGTCCTGTTTAATATCTCTATCAATGATCTGAACGAGGAGATCAAGTGCACCCTCAGTCAGTTTGCAGGCAAAATCGAGTTGGGTGGGAGTGTTGATCTGCAGAGGATTCTGGACAGGCTGGCTGGATGGGCCAAGGCCAACTGTGTGACGTTCAACCCAGGCAAAATGCCGGGTCCTGCACAACTCCCTGCAGTGCTACAGGCTGGGATAAAAGAGGCTATTAAGGTGCCCTGTGGAAAAGGG